CCTGTCAGATAGGCGAGACCGCGGTTGAAGAATGCAATTAGCCTGAAGTCTTTATAATTCGCAGATCTTGTGGGCACTTGGTAGATTACAACCTTGAGCAAATCAAACTTGGTATCATGTTGGCTACTATAGGATTCCGAGTATTCTGGGCTGCGGTGCCAAAGCAATGCAGTGTTAATCGAAGGAAGGGGGATCAATCGCCGGGTGTAGACCTCCACGAGCATCCAGCTACCGCGATCATCGACGAGCACCATCCAAGACATGTTCATGCCGACCCAGTACATACCGTTAATGTAGTTGAGGCTGACGGGGATTGGATCGCAGTCAAGGGGGTTGATGCTCGCCACCCTATGATTGTTATGCTGCGTGACACGCCATTTCTGAAGATCAGGCGGCATCAGCAAGCAAGGAGCTGGCTTAAAAAGCTCCGGCCTGAAGGCTTTGAGTAAACGGTACAGCCCCGACGAGCATGCGGCGAGCGGCATGGTATTGAGATTGTCCACACGCGAAACAATGAGCTTGATTACCTCTGTGGGGAGCGAATTCTAGCCACTCTTTCGGTGGACGCTGCTCAGTTCTGCCATTGTTAGTGCTTGGGTTTCGGACAAGGGGGGAGGCACCTTAGCGGGGATGGAAGATTGGACATGATTATGTGCAGACAAAGATGGAGAAGCGAATATGTGCCGCGGGAAGTGGACAGGTGATGATGACTACAGCATGCCGCTTGACTTACGAGACACATACTAGCAGCGTAGGGTCATGTCGATGACAGACAACTTGCTTGAGTGATCACAGTACTAGTACTCCCTACAGTGTTATGCCCTAACTTGCTTGAGTAGAGTAGTAGAGTAAGACTCTGCTCTACTACTAGCACCGGAGGAGTAGTATATTCTAATCTAAAATAGTTACTAACTTCAATGCCCGAGCATGGAATGACTACGAACCGTGCTCAAAGATCGTGTCTACGTGGTGTTTGGACATGGGCAACAACCTCAACGCCAACGGTGCTGCTCCCGTTGCACCGTATGTGTTTCTGTCCTTCCTGTTCGAAATCATGGTAGAATTCATGATTTATTTTGTGCTTATTCAGATTAAATCTCGTAGTAACTTTCTCATATATTCAACTGGCGCAACGTCCCCTACAGCCACTCCCATTTCATGGATGGCCTGGTCGATGCCTCCAAGGAGCCCTTCGTCCACTGCTATGAGTGCCCGGTGCCGTTTTGTGGCTCACCGGCGGACATGGTGCATCACCTCACGGATGCATGCAGCGGTCACTGCTGGCCCTTGGCGGAGAACATCAAGTACGAGACGTGCTACCCGTTCACCATGCCGGAGTCGCTGGAGGATCGACGTGAGAGGGAGGGGGAGGAGATAGCGATGAACATGAACGTGAGGGGAAGGAGATAGCGATGTCATGGGAGGCGTAGTATTTACACCGAGCAATGGCACACCTACGTAAGATATGGACTGAGCTGCACTGACTTAACTACAGGTCCAGTTGCGTCACTGACATGTGCGCCAGACCCCTGTTGGGCCCATATGTCAGTGACCCAATGCACCTGCAGTTAAGTAACAGCTACATGGGCATATTTGTTGGAGTAAATTACGGGGGAGCGAAGGGGTGGAAATATTGCTAGTCACAACGGATTGGACGAGCGTGGGGGGAGGAGAGTCATGCATGCAGATTCTTTCACACGGGGTGGAGTGGTGGGACCGCCGAAGGGAGAAGGAGAGTTTGGCAGGCATATAGTTTCCACACATGGAGAGGAAAAGATTTGGAGACGAACGAGCTTCCTGCAGGTATGGGGAGCGATGCATAATAAGTCATCTTGCATGTCGGGCTAGGTATAGTCTCAAGTCATTAAAAACATACACGCCCCACACATGTTCATATTTCAAGGTGCACTAAATTATTGCATGCGATGATTAAGGCTGGCCATAATGGTGGTATCTTAGCTGGTATCATGCACACGGGAATAGCAAACATGCTGATGTGGCAAAGAATTAAAGAAGAGAGGGGTTAGAGTAACTAGTGTTCATGCATGCATTGGTAAACACATTTTTTTGTGAAGAACAACAGCACTCGTTGAGTACTTTTGCATACTTCAAAAACTATTCTACCGCCTCTACTATCTTGCTAAGAGTAGGTGAAATTTTTGAATCGAGCCCTTTAAACTAGAAGGGAGGTACTGGTACTCTAATAGCTAACCTTGTTGTGATGACAAGATAGGACATGGCACGCACCTGGACGGAGGAATTAGTTTGCATTGTGCATTTAAGTTTTGTTTGAAGTCAATGTACCTCTACTTTCACCAGACTTATAGAAAAATGTGTCAACATTCACAATGTGAAATCAATATTTTTACACTCATTATAAAACGTAGTTCTTATACTCATTATAATTAGTATTGTAGATATTGATATCTTTAGTATAAATTTGGTCGTGGGATTTCATTGATGCCTGTCAAAGCATGGAGGAAGCGGAGCTTAGGGCTTGCATTGTCGGTCTCTACATAGGTATTTCTCTTCATAATCCTGTAATTTTAGAGACTGATTGCACTTTTGTGGTAGCGTCTCTTGCATCGGGGGACTATGACAGGTCTGATATGCGTGACCTGAACATGAAAGTGTTGAGCATCTCGAAGTTGATCAACAATCTTCAATTGTCAAAGATTAGCCGTTCGGCCAATAAGGTGGCACACTTAATCGCTAAGTATAGCTTTGACAATAGATTAGATGGTATTCTTGTAAATAACGTACCGCCCTGTGTGGTGAATATTGTATCGAATGAGTGTACTGGTGTGGCTGGTTAATTAATATAAGGTGGTGTTCAAAAAAAGTATAAATTTGGTCAAACACTTTGCAAATGGTTGATGGGAGTAAAAAGGACCAGAGGGAGTATCATGCATGAGGAGTAGGCAAAAAAATTGCTTGTCTAAAAAAGGCAAAAAAAATGCTCATTTATAGCCGGTCGAATTCTCAAAAGGCGTGACCGCGTGAGGGAGGCGAAGGTCGTGGGATGCGCGATGTTTGACGGAATTAAGTGAAGTTACATCCACGCGTCGGCATGGCGTGCGAACAGGCAGAAGCTATACCATCAGGCCTACGATATGGGTCTAGTAGACATGACATCTAGTGGGTCCTGCATAGTTCTCGAGAACTCTTTGGGGCCTTGCAGCCGTTTATCCACCGGGCAAGCCAGAAACCCCACGCCGTTCGCACGCCCTACTTGTCCCCGTCTTCTACCTTACAACAGTTCCCTCCCAGTCGTCCCGTCCTTTCACATTAGTTCGCTCCCAATTTTTTTTGCCGGGTACAACAGTTAAACTTCTCCTAACCCTCCTCCAAAATCCATGGCCTCCCAAATCTCCATGGTCGCCGCTGAGTACCAGGTTAGAGCCATAACCGGCGATCAGTTCATCGTCATCTACACACGTGGATCCGAGATGGTGAAAGCATGGCTTGCTCGCTTCCTACGCATGTTCAACAGTTCAAGGGATGAGTGGGTTGCTGGGCTAGATGTTGAGTACACCACAGTCCTGGGACGAGAGAAGGATCTAAAGGACGAAGTGAGGAAGAAGCCTGCCGTGATCCAGGTTTGCGTACATAACGTTTGCTTGGTCTACCACATATGCCATGCCGATGTTGAGTGCCAGGATTTTAAGAACTTCCTCAAGGACGAAACAGTGAAATTCGTTACTGTAGGCTTTAAGAACGACAAGGATGTCCTGCGTCGGATAGGTCTCGTTGTAGGCCAGCCCTTCAATCTCTAGAAGGCAAGCCTGGTGTCCTCCTCTCAACCTTCAATACTGACCCTGGCAGCAGCCATGATTGATCCTTCATACGCTAAACTGAATAAACCTCATCACGAGTTTCATCATGCATGGGAGTCAAAGACATTAGATGAAGATCACATCCTGTACGCAGCAATGGATGCCTACCTTTGTTTAAATATCTACAAGGGTTGGATGAAGAAGCAGAGCCCAGTGTCCGGTTCAAGCAAAGAAGCCTCGGCGAAGAGGAAGAGGAAGAGGGACGAGGACGAAGTCGAGGACGTGGACTCGGACTCCGAGTAGGTGGCAGTGTCGTCGCTCATGCTGGTTCTACTACAGTGTCAAGTGGACTAGTTGCTTAGTTTATCTTCAAGGGTGTGTCGTGCTGAGGCCCCAGTAGAACTATGTTTATGTTCTTTCTCATTATTTGAACTCTTTAGTACGTATAGTAGTACTAGTACTATGTATTACTACTGTTCTTCTTGCAGTTGGTACTACTACTCGTATCTTCGTGTTCCTATTGTACTTAATACGTTCGTACTAGTAGTATAATTTGGGTCAGTCGATTTGTGAAAGAAGTTTGACGGAGCGAAGGAAGAAGACGGCAGAAGAGGTGGAAGAAGCCCTTCTAGCCATCCATGTTGTATCAAACGGCTCACATGAGTCAACTGACCCAAATTGCTCCTTCAGATTGCAGGATCCACGTAGCATTCAAGGTCTCGAAGGTAGATTCCGCATCCGCACCCGGTTTGCGGGCTCGACGCACGTGCAACCGGCTTCCGCCGCGACAGACACCATGCGCGCCTCCTCAGCGCGGCCAGAGACCACAATGACACGGTATTTCCTCCTTGCCGGCGTGCTAGAGCACGCGCTCGTCCTCCTCTTCGTACGCTGCGTGCATAGACGCGGCTCCACCAGCTGCTCGCGTGCTTGGCAACGCGGAGGCATCACGAGGAGGGACTGCAGACGACGTGAGCGGGCGAGCCTTCGGCTTCATGGCACAGGGATGGCGGCGAAACAGCGGTGATGGGCAAGAAATTGTTGGCCGGAGCAGGCGGGCGCCGGTATGCGCAACGGCGGCGGCATATTAATGAGTGCGTGTGTGGGAGCTTACTTTAGTTTTATATATATAAGGTTGGTCAAACTTAAAAGAAAACCATACTAGTACACGTAAACATTAGACTTAGCGCTCGCGGTATCTTTTTCACTCAGGACTGGGTATCCATGCCAGGTGTTATACCGGTAGCTTCAGGTGGTATTCATGTTTGGCATATGCCAGCTCTGACCGAAATCTTTGGGGACGATTCTGTATTACAATTTGGTGGAGGAACTTTAGGACATCCTTGGGGAAATGCACCTGGTGCAGTAGCTAATCGAGTGGCTTTAGAAGCCTGTGTACAAGCTCGTAATGAAGGGCGCGATCTTGCTCGCAAGGTAATGAAATTATCCGAGCAGCTTGAAAATGGAGTCCTGAACTAGCCGCAGCTTGTGAAGTATGGAAGGCGATCAAATTCGAGTTCGAGCTGGTAGATACTATTGATAAGTAGATAAAACTAAAGATAAAGAAGAGAAGGTAGCAGCGCTTTTATTAGTTAGTACCAAACCCACGATACGGAATCATGTGCAAGCGCGTGAACCGTGGCCGCGCGGTCGATCGAACGGTGCGTCACCGTGTCGTGCTCGAAGGACATCCACCGAACCTTTTTGTGTGTGTGAAAAAAATGCTCGAATATTACTCAACTTTTTTTCCTGTGAAAGTTCTTGACACTTCAATATTTCCATATATTTGAATTTAGCTCCAGTTCGTGTTTATTTGGATTTGGATGTTTTAGGTGCACCCTAGTTTTTTAATACTGATTTTGTGTGTGTGACTGAGAGAGAACGTGTGTATGTGTCCATATGTGTGTTGTGGCGGAAGGGCAATGTGGAGACGGTGTGCGTGTGATACAGACATAGAGAGGTGTGAATGTGCAAATGATCATGCATGAGTGAGACATAGACAGATGGCGATACATTGTGTATACATGAGAGAACGGTCTTCTAGTTTAGGGCCTGTTTGGTTCCAATAAGTCACCTGACTTATAAGTCAGGTGACTAAAAATCAGTGACTTATAAGTCATGCCTATTTGGTTGTCATCTGACTTATAAGTCACCTGACCACACCTTCCCACCTTGTTTTTTAATGTAAAGGTGATGGGACCCATGTAAAAAGGGGTCACTTATAAGTTTTAAGTTGGGGTGGAGCGACTTATGACTTATAAGTTGGGGTGACTTATAAGTTGGGTCTGTTTGGCAAAATAAGTCACTTTTTGCACATTTCGACTTATAAGTTGGTGACTTTTTTGGAACCAAACATGGCCTTACTTGTGTGTGTGTGTGTGTGTGAGAGAGAGAGAGAGGGGGGGGGAGAGAGAGAGACAAAGAGAGGAGCATCCATAACACAACAACCATCTCTCTCGATTCATCCGTCCCTCGCACGGTCGCATGCAACACATGCATCAATGCGCACATTTTGACACCCTCACCCGGCCCCTGCCCACCTTAAGGCCCGCACAATCTCTTCATGAATACCCATTTCTCTCCTTATGTTTGTTTTGTCTCAATATCTGACACACACGCACACACACCCAAGCACACAATTCATCCCCATCCAAGGTTATACGGCAACCACTCTCGCTTGTGCTTCTTTGCACCCCAACATGCACAACACCTCAATCTTCAAAGAGGGCATCGAGCAGATCGAAGACGGCGACCACACCGCGCTAGATAAATGCGGGGTCATTTGGAAGCAGGGTGATGTGACGACGGCTGACTGACTCCTCGCCCCACCCTCTCTCTCTCTCTTGCACAAAATTCCCAATCCCTCTCTCCCCGCACAAAATTGTCAATCCCTCAACCCACGAGATCCTTCCCCTCTCGTCCATGTTTTTCCAGCTCTCTCATCAAACATGTTGTCTCTTCTCCTTCCACGTATACAGAATCCAGATGCACATGCATCTCATGTATATTACATGTATCCATCTTTCTCACAAACCTAACTTCTTCCTCTCTCTTTCTCTCTCTATCTCTCTCTCTATCTCGTTAGGTTTGTCTCCTACTCTCTCGTCCACATACATACAATCTTTCCTGCCCTATCTGCTCCATCTTCAAAAGCTCTCTCTGCATGTTTCATTCACACATTGGGATATGTCAAAATGTTGCTTCTATACTGGCTGATGTAGAGTTATGGTTGTTTTTGTTGCATCCTACAAAGTAATAACTATGAAATGCATTTAGATTCTCATTTGACTGGGATTATGTGAGTTTGAGCATGTTGTGAAGTACTATAGACCTTGTATACATCTTGGGATTCCATAATGATTGTAACTATTTAATTGTATAGACCATTACATTCGAAGTCAATAGCCTAATATATTTATTTCACAATTTCAACAAATGATTAGTTCACTACAAACTAAGAAAACAAATGTGTACTCCCTCCATTTTTATTTAAGTCCGCGTATTAGCATTGGTCAAAGTCAAGTTTTGTAAACTCTCAGAAAGCTTAGAACAAAAAATATTAACATATACAATAACAAATAAATACCATTAGATTCATTATTGAATGTACTTTCACATCATACATATTTGTTATGGTAAATATTTATAATTTTTTTATAAACTTGGTCAAACTTTAGGAAGTTTGACTTCGGTCAAACCTAATATGCAGAGTTTACTACTACTACTCGCTAGTTGCTTAGCCGAATCACTCAACACGCCACACGGGGAGTCCAGTGTCACAAAATTTTGAGGTCGGCAGGAAAATCTCCCGCGACCCTGATTCGAGCAGTGGGAAGTTACCATCATAGCCTTCGGAACAGGCCTACGGATGACGCTTGGTAGGGGGTTGTTTTCGTAACTTCAGGTTCACCCTACCCAGCCAACCCCACCCCGGCACCCAGAGTAGTACACCTGAATACTCCCCATTTTCTATCCCCACCGCGAAATAGACTTCTCCACGACACCACAGCCTTCGTGCTCCTCCCCTTTACATCGGCGCACTCGTCCACCACAGTGCATCTGCCTCATCGACGACCTCGTACGTCGCACTGGAGCCGGTCCACCGTCGTCGTCGTACAAGGAGCCTCTTCCCCGGCATCGTCTTCCACGGTCTCAGATCTGCTTCCCGGAAGCTGACACCAAGCGCAGAAGTACCACCGCGTGAACAATGAGCTGACTCCCGTTACCGACCATGACTCATAGAGGCTGCCGCGACCATCATTCTCCTCCTCGATTGGTAATGTGTGTATTGAATCACTTAGCAGTACATGTACAGTTCCAATTTTGTTCATACCTACCCTTCAAATTTCCTGGCTGCTACTGTTACCGTAAAAGTAATTGGTTATAGCCTCCATTGTCCAACAAAATATCAACTTGTAATTGTGCATCGCTCCTGTATCGCATTGTGCTTGGGTAGGTTTTTCATCTGCAACCAGTAGTGTGGCAAATGATGGAAATTTTTTTAGAACTAGAAAGATGCCCATACGTTCCACGCATCAAGATGCATTTTTATGAGTAGTTTATCTTGTGGGAGAAAAGGATGAACAAGGGAAGGCCTTATTTGCAAATCTGGAGAGGGGTATGGGTATCTTTTTGCAAAATTCCCATTTGTTTCCTTCCTATCTGTCAGATATAAATCGGACGGCCTATATTGCAAGAAAAAAGTATAGAGAAAAAAAGTAGATAGTAAAGAAAGTAGAGATAAATATTAAATATTAAATATAAAATAAATATAACAGTAGAGAAGAGAGTAGAGATAGCATGTTGAGATTTTTAAAGCGCCGCACGTTGCGATTCTGTTGGAGATGCTCTAACATGGCAGACGAGTGCTTTAATGTTGCCCACAAGATGCGCGAGTATTACTAGTAGTGTATTTTTCTTGCCATGCTGAGATTTTAAAACCACGAGTGCTAACATGCAGAGGAGCAATAAAGACCAAACACGGGATATTCGGGACATCTTCAAGGAGTGTGGCAAGTAAAAGAGGAGTTGCACCAAACTTGTAAAACAAGCTTTGGTAAGTAACACCCTTTCAATTACTTTCGTGTAGCCTCGTGTTCTTCGATGTGTATATGTTGTAGTTTCTGTTTCTCTTAAGCGTGGTGTTCTTCGATGTGTAATAAGAAGGGTCTTAATCGTCCTAATGCTTTTGTTTTTAGCTTGATGTAGGAAGTGGGTGTTCTCACCTTGTAGTCTATTTTCATTTATTTTTCCTTTTGAATTCACTTCTCCGAGTTCTGTTTATCTGGCTTCTACTAAATGGATCTGGGTTGCTTTGAGTATTGATCTAAAAAAGAAGTAACTTCATGTCAGGATGCAGTTCCTACGAGGAGGGAAGTATGGTCAACCTCGAGATCATGTTTCCAAAATGAGGCTGGATTACACACAAGGTGCCAGTTCCCTAATGATGCTGGATTAGACACAAGGTGCAAATTCCCAGATGATGCTGGATTACACACAAGCCAGGTGGAGTCGTCAGTTGTTCGTGTCCACGTGGCATTAGTAAAGGCTGAAAGAAAGCGTGTAGCAGCCCTTGAGAATGTAGCTGAGTTCCTGAAGAAGCGAAAAGAGCAGTTAGATGCTCTCTTCACCCAAGCCAAATAAGAGATGGAAGAAGCCAGAAATAAGCTAGCAGAGGCAGAGCAGGCTAGGCGTCTCCTGCTATCTAAAAATGTTGTTAATACAAAATTTCCTTCATAATAGCTAGGTTCAAATGTTTATCCAGTCAGCATGCCTGTTGTGATGTCCGTGCATCTACTGATGTGGCACAAAATGTATTTTTTTCGGGTCATGTAATAAAAGCAATTACTTTCCAAACAATAACAGACGAAGCATTGGACATGGTATAGTTCATGCGCAAGCCCGACATTCCAAGTTCAACTTCCACATCAAACTCATGTTCACAGATATCTGCACATTCATACATAATGTCCACAACCATGATTCACTCCAAAGCCAAAAAAATGTGAGGAGAGTTATAAATAAAGAAAATCCTCTACTAGTTCCTGCTACCAGTGCGAGCACAACAAGTCAAGACCATGCGTAAATTAATTATATTTTAGTCATTTTTTGTGTTCTAAAATGCCTGCCAGCTCGCGGAAGGACGTGTTGCCGGCACACGCGCAGATTCAATGAAGGCAGGTGGGGCAGTCTTAAGCTGGTTACACACGGCGAGGAGGCGTGCTCGGCCGGGCTTGCAGCGAGTGCGGCCCACTTGGCCGGCGCGCCGGTTCAATGCCTGCGCTATGAGAGGTCGCGTCCGTGTCAGAGCAATTACGCGGCGAGGAGGCTTGCTCAGCTGACTATTCCTACAAAGGTGCTCCACCAGGTACCCGGTACCCGCGAATGCAGCAATCGTGCACCTAGGGTTTTAGGGTTTATTTGTTAACGTCGCCTTTACGTAACACTCATGTGTACAAGACAGCGAGAGGCCGACATGCGTGCGTGCGCATCTTCTCTTCATATATGTACTCCACCGTTTGTCTGGTGTCCAAAAAATTATAATAAC